ACTTCAACCCAATAATTTTGAGGGGAATTTGAACCTTTTACCTATATAATGTTCAAAAACAAAACAATGAACAATCACAAACAATTCACAAGCAACTAAAAATTCAAGTAAATAAATTGTAGAATTTAAAAGGTAGAGCTAGAAATATCAAATACTTCAATTTATCTTGGTTCTTTACCTTATTTGATGCCTATGTTTAGTCCCCAAGTTTCCTATGCTTGAAGTTTAATCCACTAATACTAGTTTCAACAAGTGCTACTAAAATAAATTATAATAGCTTATGGATGATATCAATTGTTTAATTTTCTTGTTACAAATCTTTTAACTCTTGTTAACCTAAAATGTGAATTATTAGATCTAACAAGATTTTTCTAATCCCTCTCTCACTCATTACAATGAAAGAGAATTACAAAGTCAAGAACACAATTGTTTTCTCAAAGAGAAAAGATGAAAGCTTTAATCTATCTTGGTTTTTCACATTGAAGTGTTCTAGGGTCTGCTCTGTACATTGCATCTATATCTCTTTAATGCTGCAACATTATTCAACCAATGGTTTATGGCTCGTTGGAGCACAATTAGAAAAAATCTCCTCTAATTTTGGCAAGTTATTCAAGATTTCTACATCTAGGGTTGGACCTCTAGTGTTTTCTACGTAACCCATACAAAATCATGATTCTGCACCTTGAAATAAAGGGGTTGGAACCAAAAACATGACAAACAACTTATAGGGTATATAAGTTCAAATGGATCAAGGGTTTTCATACCTGGTCTCAGTGATTAGAACCTCTTGTGAAATCAGTAAAAAAAAAAAATCTTAATTATTAAGAATGAAGTGATGAATAATTAAGATTTTATATAAACATAATATGTAAAATTTATGTATAAATGGATATTAACTTTGAAAATTTTATGTATAAGTAAATATTAACTACTACTACTACTAATAATAATAATAATAATATTAATATACTCAGGTTATTTCTAATGATGATAAGGAAAATAGAGTAATAATGGAGAGGGTAAAATATGAGGAAGATAATAAAAAGTTTATATTATTGTAATTGCAACAAGCCTTCAAGATCTTTCTTGATCCAAGTCTTCTCTTCGAACAAACTTGCAAGGCCTTGAAGTTGGTTTTTGAAGTAGATACTTTAATACTTAAATCAGTAATAATCTGATTTACTCTTAATAAATAATGAAAAAAAAGCTTTAAATTAGTTTTAATTATCTTTAGAATGTGACAGTTTTAAGTTAGTTTTAATTACTTTTAGAATGTAACTCTCAAAGATATTTATAAGTTTTAATAAGTTATCTACATGATATATTTAACAAAATAATCAAGATTTAACGTGTCTATAAGGATATAGATCTTGAGGATGAAGGATTGTATGCATACATTCTCACTATAATTATCATGCAACTGAAAATAGTTCAACTTAAATTTCATCTTATTATTAAAAAATTAAGTAATTGATAAATACATGGATAGGTCCGAGAACGGTGATCTCAAACCTTTCCTTACAATTATTTTTCATTTATTTTATTCTTCACAACACTCATTTTTTAGTAATAATTTTTTATAATCTCCGTTTATTTCATCTCATTACATATGTCAGGCGGCCTGTAGTCGGCTGGTCACAGACTCACCTGTCCCAGTAAAAAAAAAAAAAAAGACTCACCTGTCCCAGTTGGAGTACAATCCGAGAACTATGTGTCTTTGTGTCGAAACTAGGGATGAAAGGCCGTGTCTGCCACCAGTAAGCCAAATGGCTAACCACAACAACTTGGACCGATGTGGTTTGCAGATTTTATGATTGGGTAAGAATGTGGCCAGCCACATTTTGTCGTGCTGTAATTTTTGGACTTAAACTCTTTTTTGTCTTAAAACTTATTTTTTCTCCAAACAATATGTATTGGACTTTGACATAAATAAATTGACAATTTAAATTTTTAGAGAAAAAAATTGCATTTAAATATCTTCTTTATTTTTTTTCCAAACAATTATCGTTCACATGTTTCTTGGACGGTGCGGTGAAATTATTGATCATTACGAGCTGAAGAGCCTCCGCCTTTGAAGCGCTTCCGCCTGGCCTGCGCATAGTCTTCCTATGGTGTTTTGGAAGTCTTCTTCCTTGCCCTGTAGTTCATACATCCTAGACCTAATTAAGTCTCCAAACTAATCCAGTGATTTAAGGAAAACCCCTTTAAAGGTCTTAGTTATTTCCTAATTCGTGAAACATGATCTAGTATGTGTTAAAAGACACTTCTACTAAACAAAAGATCTTATAAATAGATTATTATAAGATGAGTCTACCTATTGACAATAGACAATTGACTTGCTGTAGGTTTAGAAAGATTTTGTGGGTAAATTTCAAGTCTAATGACAAGTTTAAAATCAACTTAAAGATTCTTGTACGTTTCAAGATAAAAATGTCCACTTCACATTCTATTTATTATATTATTAAAGTTTATAAATCTTAAAATATCTTTTAAGTTAGTTGACCAAAAGATTGTGATTGGTTGTTACCTCTCAAAAAGAAGAATTTAGAGATCAAAGTCAAGTTAAGCTGCATATGGGCTTGGTCCATGCTAAATAAAATCAAAAGTTTTGAAAACACAAACCCCTTCCCACCGTTGTAATTGCCTATACCCATCATTTATAAGGATATATAGAAGATAATCACCTTTTTTTATTTTTTTTTTTAGTTTGATTTATGAGAATATTTTTTTATAATTTGAATTATGTTAAAATATAAAATAAAAATTATTAAATAAAAAACTTTTTAATATAAAAAAATTACTCTTATCTAGTAATATAATTTAATATAATGTAAATTTTATCGAATTTTTTCTGTTAACTTATGGCCGATTATAAGGTTGTTTTAAATACAATGCTAAATATGTAAGCACAACCAGCCTCTCTAGAAGTTTCTTTTTCCGAGAATTGCCGTAACCAAATGCATCCAAGGAGGCCTAAATGCCTAGGAGCAACTTTTAGACTAGCAATAGTTAAAAATTTGTGAATACCCTGAATTCCTTTTCCGCGATGGCTTGCAACCAAACAAGCTCTTGGTCTCTTTCTTGACATTGATGTACGAAAAAATTACACGTGCACAAGGGAAGAAACACAACAAGATGTGGATGAAGGTCTGTATTGTAGCATCCGCCATGTGTAGGTGGTTAACGCCACTCGAATCACCCAAATGTCAGCACGGTGGGGTCTCTAGTCCTCATCCCGATAGCGAACAGGTGATGGCGAGTTGGAAAATAATTTATGAATAATTTTTTATATTATTTTTGATATAATTTTATATATTATTTAAATAATAAATTTTTTATTTAATTTAAATTTATAATATTTATTATATTTATTTATTTAATAATATATAAAAAATTATAAAAAAATTATCTTTATATTTCTGTCGACTGGAGATCAAGGTCACGTGTCTGTTTCATTTTGACACGAGCTCAGTCACGTTGCCGATGTGGCCCCCACTATTCCCAGTACTGTTCACATGGAAGAACTCGCTCGATTCTTCATTGTCATGTATGCAAGAGACAAAATCCACTTTAAGCTCTCTCGATTTTGTGAGAAGATCCCTTGTAAATTCCTAAACGTGTTTTTTGAGCCAATAAGTTTCCAAACTTCACCGTGAAATTATAAATTAAAAAAAATAAGTGTTAAAAGAATTTTTTTAATAAGATTTAATATGATTTAATTTTAAATTAATTAAAATTTAATTTTAAATTAATTAAAATTTAATTTTATTTATTTTTTTATCATAATTATACAATAAAAAATAATTATCTTTTATCTTTTATTTTATTCCACTTGTATGTCATGCGATTCGAATTCAAAATCTCTTATTTTCAGTGAAAATAGATGACTATTGAGTTAATTAGATCGTTGACAAATTTAATCTAATTTTTAAATATTAAAAGATTGACAAAAAAAGTGAAGACAAGAATAATGATACATATGATTCAACCAAATTTTAGGATTAAAATTTAGGACAATTTACAGTAACCATCCATTATGGTGTGAGCCCATATGGTTAATAATTGAAAATTTATTTTTCTAAATTTTGTTTTAAAATTTAATTTTAAGAATTATTATTTTAAAAACAAAAAATTAATTAGATAATAACACTTTTTAAGTATCAACCTACAATACATCATAATACTATAACTGTATTATTTTTATATTTTTAAATAGTTTGATTGAAATTAACTCTAAAAGATCTTTTTTAAAATTAATAATTTTAACAAGACATCCATGCAAGATTATCAATATTTCTAACAATTTTTTAGGATAAAACTAATCAACAAAGTTGACTTCAATTTATCACTACAGTTGAAAAAAATTGATTTTAACTTTTTAAGTTATGTTTAAAAAGAAAAAAAAATTTGAAATGCCACTGAAATTTTTTTGAGCAAGGGAGGAAATTTTTTCTCCATGCCAAACACATTTTTAAGGTGCGTTAGTAACCTATATCCTAAAAATGATACTTGAAAATAAATGA